TCTCTCTACGTCTCTCTCTATCTCTCAATTCCTAATTTCAGTAGTGTAAAGCAATGAAAAAGAGAGCAGCAATTCCACCATTGACAGCTATTAAAAAGATTTGAAGCTTTTTGAATTCGAATTTGGATTTTCAAAAATCATTATTTGTTTGGATTGGGTATTGTTGCAAACAATTGGGAATATGGTTTGAAGAAGAAGAAAAAGACGACATGACATACATTATGCTGCAGAAATAGTAGTAAAGTTGTAGTAAAATTATAGAAAAATTGTATTCTATTGTTTATATATTTTTTATTTATTTATTTAAATGTTGTATGAAAGTTGAACAATATTGTAGAAATATTATATTTAAGTTGTATGATATTGTAGTTGTATATAACTGAGTAGAAATAATGTGTGAAAGTTGTGGATAAGTTGTATAATATATAATTAGTTGTATGAAATTTATTTTTACTATATATATAAATCGGATACAAAATATACAAAAGACATATTGTATAAAATTTGTATAAAAATTGTTTTAAGTGATATGATATTGAAGTTGTATATAACTTGATATAAATAATGTATGAAAGTTGTAGATAAATTATAGATAAGTTGTATAATGGAAAAAGAAGAAGGATTATAGTAGTAGGTTGATGTCCAGCATAATATGGAGTGATGCTATTATGCCATAGTATGCAGATTGATTTATCAATAGTCAGTTAAACCATACATTCTTTGATCCTAAATCCTGATCATAGAGATTAGAGAGCTGAACATCTAAAGGGGAATTTAAACTAATAAAGGAAGAAAAATATCCTCTGCTAATAGATTACAAGGAGTAGGGAAGGCTCAAATTGGAAGCAATGATGGCCACTAATATTCAAACTTGCGCGCTACAGTTAAAATTGTGACCTCTTGATTGCCATCCATTCCAATTAGTGATTAATATAGGAAAGATTTTTTTTATTCCTATTGTACTGTAGGAAAAAATTGATAGCAACCGAACAAGCACCATGCCAATATTTTCTCCCTAACTTAATAGAGTACCACAGATCTCCCTTTTACTATGGATTTTATATTGTGACTGTAACGACCCGACCGGTCATTTTAAGAATATACGTCCCGATCCCCTATTAACTGTATTCTCCGTGTTTGTTTCTGCTATTGTGAGTTGCCGGGAGGATTTATTTGGAGTTTCGGAGAGTTTTGGAACACTTAGTCCCTAAATGAGAGTTTAGGTTTTAGAATTTGGACCGTAGTCGGAAGAGTGTGAAGAGGGCCTCGGAATGGAATTCTGTTGGTTCCGTTAGCTCCGTTGGGTGATTTCGGGTTTAGGAGCGTGTTCGGACTATATTTTGGAGGCTCGTAGCTTATTTAGGGGTGAAATGCCGAAAGTTGAAATTTTTGAAGTTTCCGGTTCGATAGTGAGATTTTGATCTAAGGGTCGGAATGGAATTTCGGAAGTTGGAGTAGCTCCGTAGTGTTGAATGTGACGTGCTTGCAAAATTTCAGGTAATTCGGACGAGATTTGATAGACTTTTTGATCGAAAGCGTAATTTGAGAGTTTTTGGAGTTCTTAGGCTTGAATCCGATGTTAAATTGGTGTTGTGATGTTGTTTTGAGCGTTCCGAAGGTCGGAACAAGTTTGAATGTTATTTTAGGATTGGTTGGCATCTTTGGTTGAGCTCCCGGGGGCCTCGGGTGAGCTTTAGGTGCTTAACGGAAGTTGAATTGGACTTAGAAAGAATTTGAGGTTGCTGAACCTGTCGTAACCGCACCTGCGTGTGTGGGACCGCAGGTGCGACGCCGCAGAAGTGGCTTAGTGATCGCAGAAGCGAGATTAGGCCAAGGCTCCAGAAAATGCAGGTGCGGCTGGGTGACCGCAAATGCGGAGCCGCAGATGCGGCCAAGCGACCGCAGATGCGGACCCAGCCCGTTAAGTGAATTTCGCACCTGCGATGCCTTTTCTGCAGGTGCCGGACCGCAGGTGCGCTCCCATGACCGCAAATGCGGTAATCGCTGGGCAGAAATATGAAATTTCGAGGGTTTGAGTTCATAACTTGGAAAATCAAATTTGCAGCTCGGATAGGGCGATTCTGTGGGGTTTTTTAAGAGAAGATCATTGGGTAACAATTCCTTATCCCTTCCTAATTGTATTCCATTAATCTATTGTTAGTTTATCATTTGATTTCGGATTTGGGGTGAGAAATTGGGAAAATTTTTGGAAAAGTTCTTAGGCCTAAGTTTCGAGTTTTGATTGGGGATTTGACATCGGATTTGGATAATTTTGGTATGTATGAACTCTTGAGAGTGTGAGAATTCTGAATTTGTAAATTTTACCCGATCCGAGACGTGGGCGTGAGGGGCGTTTTGGTTATTTTTCCTAATTTCGCGTAGTAGCTTAGAATTAATTAGTTGAAGTAGTTACTTGAAGTGTTATTTACATTATGCAATGGATATGAATAGATTTGGGCCATTTGGAGTCGATTACTCGTGGCAAGAGCGTGATTTCGGGTTGATTTTGAGCCGGTTCGAGGTAAGTGGCTTGCCTAACCTTGTGTGGGGGAACTCCTCTTAGGATTTGGTATTGTTGATATTTGAAATGCCTTGTACGTGAGGTGACGAGTGCTTACTTGTGCTAATTGTTGAAAATCTGGTTTTCATTAAGTAACTAAAATTGTGTTTCCTTTTTGTTTATACTACTGGCAATTTAAGCCTGCTGTTAGCTTAGGGAAAACATGTCTAATTGACTTGATTGCTTATTTGCTCAACTGCCTTATTTGGATTATGTGCAACATGCTAGGTTAGAGAACTTGTTTTACCTCGTCACACCTCCCTTTTCTACCCCGAGAAGGGGTATAAGGGAGTTTTTCCAATTAAAGTGATAATAATTGAAACGGGATTATTTATTTCAAATTCAGAGTCGCCACTTGGGGTAACTTATGGTGTCCCAAGTCACCGGTTTTAAAATCTCAAATCGAGGAAAGTTTGACTCTGTTTTACAGTCGGCGAAACACAGAAATCCGGGTAAGGATTTCTGTTAACCCGGGAGAAGGTGTTAGGCATTCCCGGGTTCCGTGGTTTTAGCACGGTCGCTCAACTATTGTTATTGGCCTAATTATCTGATTAATTATATATTTTAAAACCTATTGCATTCTTTATCCTTTGACTGCTTTTAATTATTTGTAGAATTATTCTGGAACAAGTTACGATTGTCGTACACTTGTTTGTTTGATATTGCGAATCGTGTCACGGGAACCGCACCCACTGTTTACAACATGTTTAAATTATTAACATTATAGTTGTTACGGCCGGGTCAAATAAATGTACCCCTGGATTTGGAAATTATGTATCGTAACCATGTCACGGGAACCGTACCCATAGTCACGATGATGATTTATTTACGCGCCTAAAGCAAACTATGATGTTCATAAATCACGCTCCTTAGAGATTCTGTGATATAGTAGTACAATGAAGTGTCTTTTATAATTTTTATTATTGTGTACAATCACCTACCATGGAATTTATCTGCGCCTTTTTCTATGTGTTTCTGGTGACACTACGAAGGTGAAGTTTCATGTGGTAATTATTTATACGGAAAATGGCCAAAACTACCTCTATCGTTTGTTAAATGGTTTATAAATACCCTCCGTCCATCTATCCATCCAAAAAAATACACGACGTTAATTCTATTAACAAAAATACCCCCGCGACTAACGACAGAATTTGTGAGTCTTTCATTTAATGACGTGGCGATCTTTAACTGGGCCACGTGGCAATCTTTAACCCAGAATCAAATATGGATCTCATTTTTACCCATTTACCTTATCCGACCCATTTTTACAAAAATGGGTGGTATCTACGACACCCATTCCACTGATCTAACCTCCCCCTTTCTTCTTCTCCAATCATAAACCCCATCTTTGGGAAATGAACATGCCAAAAATCAAAGAAGATATCGGAAGTGTTAGACCCTCCATCTTCAGCCATATGGATGAATTGAAGTTTGTAGCAATAAATCAATAGCAAACGACTCCAAAAAGTTGAGAACACATCTGGAATTTTCAGTCGCAAATCATTGGCGGCAATTCTTCGTCTTGTTGAGAGAATGGACTCCAAAAAAATTTCAACCTAAAATCAACTCGAATCAGCTCTACAGGTGTTCCTCTTCGATTTACCAGCTGCTTGGATCGTTCTAACCAGTCCACAAAGTTCTTCAAATTTGCAGCTGGTGTTTTTCGGGTTCATCAACTGATTCAGGCTTCAATAGTAATGAATTCTCGTTCAATGAATCAGGCTACAGAAACAATTCGAAGCTATCTTCAGCAACTGAAGCTCAGAAATGTTCAACAAGTGTTCGTCGTATTTCAACTTCAAGCTGCCAACCCAAAGTCAACCCAAACCTCTTCAACTTGAACTCAAAATGTAACCACAAGCTCGTCTCAACAATCCGAACAAAACCAATTTGAACAATAACCTACAGAATCGAAGGAACCCAATTCGTCTTCTTCGTCGAGAAACCGTTCAAAAAATTTCAACTCAAAACCCTAGAAAATCACTCAAATCGATCCTAATCCTTCAGATTCAGCTTCAAAATGATGTTTCCAACTAGAATCATGAACATCCAATCGAATTCGAAGCCCTAATTTTCAGATTTCAAACGAAATTTAGCTTCTTCGTTGAACTCGGCAGAGACGGGTTTCAATTGTGGCCTCAAATTCAATCTTGCTTCTTCGATTCAATACTGCAAAGCACGGAAAAATGGGTAAATGGGTCGGACTAGGTAAAAATGAGATCCATATTTGATTCTGGGTTAAAGATTGCCACGTGGCCCAGTTAAAAATCGCCACGTCATTAAATCAAAGACTCACAAATTCTGCCGTTAGTCGCGGGGTATTTTTGTTAATAGAATTAACGTCGTGTATTTTTTTGGACGGATAGATAGACGAAGGGTATTTATAAACCATTTAGCAAACGATAGGAATAGTTTAGGCCCTTTTCCGTTATTTATATTACTGAAACAAATTCCAGATGCAATAGTAAAATGAAATTAAAGCCTATAATGCACCCTCTCCGAGATTAATCTACCAACAAACATAAATCTATATGACCTTACATGATATTTAAGTCACTCTTGTGAATGAAATAAACCAGCAATTGCACAATCACAACAAAACTCATAATTGTTGTGCAATAAAAGATCAAAAAAAAATCTCATAACATTAGAACAAGATAAAAATAGATATGAGAACAACAATCGTAGAAGCAGAGGGACCTACCACAGGTCCATTTAGCGTCGGATCAGACTACGAACGGGATCGGAACCGCTTGGCCAAACACGAGCACCTCATTGCACCTCCGGTTTTGTTTTTGATTTACTTCCTCTTGAAATAAACTCTAATCAAAGGGATCTATGGATTTTTTTGAATTCCTTTTTTCTTTGGTTGAATCTGAAGCTAACAAAGCTTAAAACAGAAGGTGAAAATCTATTTTTTGGCTTTTCATCTTTTTAGAATGAAACCTAAAACAGCAAAAAGTTTGAAAGGTTCTTTCCTCTAATCTTTCCTCTTTATGCATCTCTGTAGGGGTGTGTTTCCATCTTTATGAGTGTGTCTGATGCGTTTTCTTTTTTTCATTTTTTGGGGGTGCTGCTGGTTCTCTCTTCTGAAAGAGAGTAACGATGGAGATGGATTTTTCAGAGGGTCTGCCGCTATCACTTTTTTTGTTTGTTTTGGGGTGAGCTCTCAAGGGATGTTTTGGTCTCTAGATGATGAATAAGGGTGTTATTTTCTGGTGAAGGTCTGATGTGTGCTTAAGGTGTGTAGAGGAAGAAGAAGCAACGCTGGGGGGAGGGGGGGGTTTCATGATAGGAAACGGCTGATCCTCTAAGACTAGGTTTTGTCTAGTTTTATTAGGATTTTAGGGTTAGGTTAGTGGGTATTGGGCCTAGGATTATGTGCTAGAACCGAATTGGGTCAAATTTGGCCAAATATACCTTTAAAAGTAGCCCTTTAACTCTACTAAACTAAAAATAATAGCTCCTAAAATAACAACTACAAAATTATGAAATCATTTTTAATTAATTAAAAGTAAAATTAAAAATTAAAAGTGAAACTGTTTTATATTAATTAGCTAAATAAAAGAGAATATTTTTGTAATTTTTATTTTTGTGACAAAATAAAGTAAAAGAGCCAAAACTAATTGAAATAGCGATATTAGGCCTAAACTAAATATTTATCACATGTCTGCATACCTTGGTATGAAACTTGAATTGAATTGAGTATTCTTCGTGTTGCTGCTGTGCATTTACTTTGGGACTACGGGACGGTATCCCGGGAGATCCCCTTGTATGTTTACTTTGGGACTACATATTTGTATTCCGGGAGATCCCCCTGCACTTTTACATTGGAACTACGGGACTGCACCCGGTAGAATCCCCCAGTACTGAGTATTTATATTTGGGACTAAGGATCGGGATTCCGGTAGATCCCCACGCACTATGAGTTGGACTACGAGATGGTATCCCGGGAGATCCACTGGATATTTATATTTGGGACTACAGGACGGTATCCTGGGAGATCCCCGGTTGTTATCTCTATGCTGAGCTGTGTTCTTTCCGTGATTTCTTCTTTCTCTACAATAGTTGTTGTTATTCTTATTATCATGTGTTAGTTCATACTGTTAGCATTTAACTGTATTGAAGTATTCTATACTGTGCTATCTCATTTTTTTTAGCTATAATCAGTAGGGCCCTGACCTTCCTCGTCACTACCCGACCGAGGTTAGGCTTGGCACTTACTAAGTACCGATATGGTGTACTCATGCACTTCCTGGGCATGTTTTTCATGTGCAGATCCAGGTACTTCGACTCAGCCCTACTACCCTTGAGGCGGGGGATCCATTAGAGACTTTAATGTAACAACCCGATTGATCGTTTTGAGCCCTAGCGCACCGTTCAGCAGTTCGAGGCCATGAGCAGCTTCAATTCAGGCATTATGACTTGTACGCGTGGTCGAAATTAAATTTTGGGAAGTTCGGAGTTGACTTGGAGAGGAAATTCTCATTTCGGAAGCTTTAAGTTGAAAGAATTGACTAGGATTGGATTTTAGAGTAAACGACATCGGAATCGGGATCTGAAGGTTCTAGCAGGTTCGTATGATGATTTCGGACTTGGGCGTATGCCCGGATCGGGTTTTGGGTGACCCGGGAGCGTTTTGGCGCCTATTGTGGAAGTTAGCATTTTGGAAGAAACTTCATAAGTTTGGGTTGAAGTGCTTATCAGTGTTATCGATGTCCGTTTGAGATTCCGACTTTGGGGGTAGCTCCGTATGGTGATTCTGGAGTTGGGAGCGCGATCGGAAGTGAATTCGGATGTCCGTGGAGCATTTTGGAGTCATTTGGCTAAAGATAGAAATTTGAAGGTTTTTGAGAAGTTTGACCGGAGGTGGACTTTTTGATATCGGGGTCGGAATCCGATTTCGAAAGTTGTAGTAGGTCCGTAATGTCGAATATGACTTGTCTGCAAACTTTGGAGTCAATCGGACGTGATTTGATAGGTTTTAAACATCGAAAGTAGAAGTTTGAAATTCTAAAGTTCATAAAGCTTGGTTTGGAGGTCGATTCGTGGTTTTAGCGTTGTTTGATATGATTTGAGGCCTCGAGCAAGTCCGTAATGTGTTTTGGGACTGGTTGGTATGATTCGTTGGGGTCCCGCGGGCCTCGGGTGGATTCCGAGTGGTTAACAGATTGAAAATGGAATTTTTGAAGGGCTGAACCGCTGGTTGCTGGTATAACCGCACCTGCGAGACTTGGGCCGCAGGTGCGGAGCTGCAGAAGCGACCAGAGGAGCCGCAGATGCGGTTTGGATCAGAAGGGAAGGGACCGCAGATGCGGTCAAGTAGCCGCAGAAGCGGGACCGCACCTGCGGCGGTCAAGTCGCAGAAGCGGAAAGGGGCCGACCAGGTTGGGACCGCAGATGCGGTCGTTTTGTCGCAGATACGCGACCGCACCTGCGGAAGAAGAAGACCAGATGCACAAGCGGAGCATAGGAGAAGGATCGCAGATGCGGATGGAAACTCGCACCTACGGAACCGCAGAAGCGGTCAAGTGACGGCAGGTGCGGAACTGCTGGAGACAGAATGCTTCTTTTAAAAATCGGGGGTTTTGTTATTTTCCCCCATTTTTCATTGGGTGAGGGAAATTTTGGAGAGCTTCAAGTGGGATTTTTCATCATCAACGACAAGGTAAGTTAATTCCACCTATCTTGAGTTAAATATATCGATTATGTATGGATTTTAGCATGTAAATTGGTAGAAATTTGGGGGTTTGAGGAAAACCTAAAAAAATTGATATTCTTGGAATTTGACTATGATTTTGGGTATGGAATTGAGAGTAAATTATATATTTGAGTTCGTGAGGCTATTATTCTTCGAAAAATTTCGGAATCCGGGCACGTGGGACCGAGGGCATTTTTGTCAACTTTTCGATCGGGGTTAGGAATTGTTATATATGGATTGTAATGAGTAATTGAGCATATATTAATGGATGCGCATAATTATTGGCTAGTTTTGGAGCGTTGTGCATCAATTTAAGTATTCGGAAGGGCGTGGAATGCCGGTTATGGATCTTCAGAGCGAGGTGAGTCTCCTTTCTAACCTTGTAAGAGGGAATTGTCCCCATAGGTGAAATAATTGGTTATGTGCTCCTATTTGTGGGGGCTACGTACGCACGAGGTGACGAGAGTCCGTGCGTAGCTACTAATATGTGTAAGTCCGATAGTCTAGGACCCAGAAAAAAAAAGCATGCTATACTTGGAATATCTGTGATCTTATTGACAATTAAATTTCTTAAATCCTATCGAATTGGTAAATAAATTTCTAAGAAGATTAAACTTCATTTTCTTGAATTGATAAAAGGGAATTTGGCTTTTCCTTGGATAATTATTCCCTGATAAATTCATGATTGACTAATTGTCGTGTTTATTTATATTTGACCGCGTCGCATGTATGATTCGCGAGCGGGGTAATAGATGTATCTATGGTTCGGGCCGCTCGAACCTCGGCAGTGCACATTTTACATTTATGTTGGATCGGGCCGTACGACCTCAGCATGAGTTGCGCATGTTTGAATTGCTTGTCTTGAGATCTATTGATATTGCTGTCTGCTCTCCCGACTTGAGATAATTGTTAATTAATGGAATATGAATCCGGAGACTTTAAATAAAAAGGAACTTTCACCTATTTAGTGACTCATTTAAATTTTACTATTGTTCTTAATAAATCCGTGAGTCATCGCATTAATAATATTATTACTGGACCTCTAGTAAGTGTCGAAGTTGTCATCTCGTCTCTACTTCTTCTAGATTAGGCGGGATACTTACTGAGTACACATTATTTTTGTACTCATACTACACTTCTGTGCATTTTTGTTGCACAGGCACATGCACCTCTAGTGGCCTAGTGGGCGTAGCAGCATGGTTGACACGGAAACTAGATGAGCTGTATTTCCTCGAGGCGACCCGCAGCTAGTATAGTCTCTCTCAGGATTTTGTTTATTTTCTGTCCACTTGTATTCCGAACAGCTGTTGTACTTTATTCGGTTTTTTTTCTTCTTAGAAATTGCTCATGCACTTGTAACACCGGGTTCTGGGATGGTTATGAAGTATTTTGTATTAATTGCTTATCATTTAATTTGAATTGAAGCGATTATCTTTTAATTGGTAAATTTGAAGGAAAATCATATCTTTCAAGAGTACTAAGACGAAAATTTAATTAAGTATTTTTGGTTGGCTTGCCTGACAGTGGTGTCCGGCGCCATTACGACCCTTAGTGGATTTGGGGTCGTGACATTCAAGGTATGTCTGCCGCGTCCGCAGACCGAGGAGTCCCTTTCCATTCTCTCTCATAGCATTAGCCCTTCTGTATTTCTTTTATTTAGACACTCTGGAGTTAGAACACTGTAGTTATTCCACAGCTTGTGATTTCATGAGATTCCGGGTTTTGGGAGATGTAGTTTTAGTTGAGAGTTGTATTGTATATGCCGAACGGCATCTTTAAACTTTCACTATGTTTATTCCGCAAGTTTTTATTTGTTTTATTCTATTGTTTCTTTTTCCACAATTTGTTAGGCTTACCTAGTCGTAGAGACTAGGTGTCGTCACGATAGTTCATGGAGGGCGAACTGGGGTCATGACAGTAACACAAACTAATATGTAGGAATGTTAAGAAGATCTGCAAAGAGATGACAGTTTATACTTGGTAGTACAAGAATGGAGACAGAAACACCAATCATACTCCAAATATGGAATTAATGATCCACGACTACAGATTTCTCTTTGTCTCTCGCAGTTTATTGTAGGACTTCTTGCAGATTTTTCGAAAAAATACCGAGCGAGCAGCAAGCCTCACGGGGCAATGTGGAGAGGAGGGGAGAGAGGAAGGGAGAGAGGAGAGAAAGAAGGAAAGGGTGTAACTAAATCCCTTGATTGAAGCCACAAATAATGGATTGGGAGCCTTTTTAAGGTGGATTGTATATATTTGGTAAACAAAACTTGTTTATGCCAGGTAATTAGCTAAACATGGACATTAAGGATAATAAAGTTTCAAATAGTGTATAGGAATGAAAAAATCCCTTTAAGAAAATGGGTATAGGTTAAATGGGGGCAACCAAATAGGGCACCCCGTGCAATTTTTACTTTTTTGTGTGTACCCCATATTAATGAGTATGCAATTTTAAGAAATCACATAAATAAATTTTAAAAATAGCAAATTGCTGTTATTGCTATTATATAATACAACAACAAAAAAGTTATCCAAAATATTTCCTTGGACTTAAGAGAATTATTATATGAAAACTGTTGTTGTTCCTAGTACCTAATACTAAACACAAATATATA